ATTATGTTCAAAAAATAGAAAAATGATATTTTTAAAATAAATATTAACGCTTTTTAATATTTTTATTTAATTTTATTTAGCTAGCCTATTCGGTTCACTCGTTAATAAAATATTTAAATAATGTATTAAAAGTATAGAAAATGGAAAAAAAATATATATATAGGGGATGAGAATTGGTGTGAGGTTGTGGAGGCATGTTACAAACTAAAAGGAAGCTTCCTAGTTATTTATTTATTTACAATTTTCCAGACATTTATTATTATTATTATTATTAAACCCAAACATAACATAAGACAAGACACCGACCATTGAATAATCCCAATTCCGACTAAGCTTACTATTATAAAACATTTGATTAATTAAGGAAACCTAAGCCCATCACACCACCTAAGATTCCAAAATCTGTCGCTATTTTATTAACTAATCAATCTACTTTATAAACTCCATTACATACGTAAACTAATACCCTTTTTAAAATATTATGATTTTGGCTCTTATTACATGCATGTTATAAAATTTATTTAAAAGTATAAATTAAAACATTAAAATATGACGATACATGGTACCTAATATAACGCGTCTAATGGTAAATTTCCTTTGCCTCAATAGCAATTGTTATCCAAACCTTAAAAGAATTTCGATAATGCCTGAATCTACTCATCACTGTCACATGATGTACATATAAACTTTATTATTCCTAATTTCTGCTTAGATATGTTTAACAAACTCTTGAACTCACTTAAACTTAAGGAAAATACCCTATGGATCTAAATTAAAAGAAAAGAAATTGATTGGGACCATGTTGAAATGATTGAAAATCTCTTGAACTGAGAAAAGATCCTCAAATTGGACAAAAATTTATTGACGGATGATTGTTGGTTGAATTGATAAAAACCCAACAAATTGAACGAATTGGACCTAACCTTGAACCATACTTGAACTCGAACTAGAGATATCATGAGCGAACTAACGTGAATCCTGAAACCTGACGACAACAACCTGATCAACAAAATCTAATCAACGTGTGGTCCACAACGACGATAGTGTGCAACGTGAGGATTATCGAGCTAAAATGGCAACAATTATAGAAAACTAGTGATATTGGTGCATTATGTGAAGGTTGTTGGAGTCACTAAGGAAAGATTATGGATATATAAGTAAGGACATTATCTCCATCGACCTGAAACCTTTTAAAGTTTCATAAAAACCAAAGGTATTGGTTAAGCTATTTTAAAATAATTTTAAGAACAAAGTTTTGATATTTAATGTTGGAATCAAAATAGAATATCTCATAGTAGCATAACAAAATAATAATAATAATAATGTAATTCGTGTTAATTAGAAAATTGAATGAAGATTGCGAAGGATACTAAAATTCAAATCCTTATAGTTGTGGTCAGAGATCAGATTTATGCCAACCCATTTGATCTTAGTTCGATCGGTTATAATTATTTTGAAATTGAAAAAAGCAGTTAAATTCAATGAATCAAATCTTCACTCTTATTGTCTTTTCGCATCAAATTCAATGAATCAAATTTTCAATTGATCCTTTTTTTTTCTTTTTTTCTTTTTTTTAATTATAGTCAGAATTAATCAAGAATTAATCAAGAATTAGCCAGAGAGTGCGTGCGGAAAATAGTATATTTCTGTGTACCTGTTTGTTGCGATTCCTTTAGGATCGTCGTCTTCTTGGCCGAATTGGATCCATAAAACAGGAATCTGTGGAGGCCAATTTGGATCAGATCAGATCTCAACTCATTGGCCAATCTTAGGAGCAATCAAAGGCTTCAAACGCCCAGTAATCTCTCCTAATCCTTCATTCTGAATCATTAAACAAAAAGAGCAAAGCCCTTCAGATTTAACCATATTCATTCACTATAACACTTCCTCCCACCACATCAAACCCCATTACGACTTTGCCCAACATTTTCTTATCAAAGGTCCCATTTCTACACATATACCCGCAATTTTTATTTACCTCACCTCCTACTGCCGCCGCCGCCTCCTCCTTCGAACAGCTCGGTGATTCGACCCTCCACATCCTCCACCGTGTACTTCAAATACCGGTCTGTACGCTTTGCCAACTCCGGCAAACTCTGGTACCTTCCGACGAACTTTTGATATGCTGGCAACAGGGTTTTGGCAACTGAGATTCTTGCTTCTTCTCTAAGCTGATGCTCGAATATCACCCATGTGGATTGGGTTTGGCAGACTTGTTCAAACTGCACGTTGAATGATTGGAGCTTGTCCTTCATCGCAGCCGGAGCTAAAGAGCCACTCTCCATTTTCAACACTCCGATCACCTTGCTCCATGAGCTTCTCAGGTAATTCCCAAGGTATTGCCGGTTCTTAACGGAGTGCTTTCGAATCCAATCCTCACCTAAAACTGATCCTAATTCACTGTCTTTCACTTTCTGGACAATGTATCGCCCATTGTTCATCAGAAACACAGAGCTTAAGGAAAGATCCTTGTATATCTTGGACTTCGCCTCTAAGTTGCTCTCTAAAACCTCCATAATCCACTCCATTTGAACTGACAACGATGATGACGATGCTGCTGCTCTGTCCTCGAGCTTGCTGTAGTCCTTGGAGGTAAGAGCGACTTCTTCGAAAATTTGCTCCAGAGTCTGCCGCGATTTACAGGCTGCTCTAAGGTAATTCATCACATATCGAGTGATTGGATGAAGGCCGCCCCCCGGTACCGGAGTCTTAGCCGGATCACGACGGATCAAATTCTCAAGCTCCATGAAGATCCCCTTGATTGTTCCGCCAAAACTTTTCCAGATTGTGAGTGCTTCATTTCTAAGAAACGAACAGTACTGGTCTGGAAATACTGAATCGAACTCTGGCATCAAGTCTCTCAAGGTTTCGAACATATCGATAATTTTGAAGAGTCGTTCTGGGGCTCGGGAGCCAATTGCCACCGCATCTGCAAAATTCAATAGCTGGATCGTCGATCCTCGACAGACCTCCATGAAAGAGAGATTAGCGGTGGAGGAGAGGCCGACGAAGACGCGTTCGCAGAGGTGTCGTTCGCTTGGGAAGAGAACTCGAAGGGAGACGCTAATCGCTTTCATCCAGCGCTCAATCTCCTCTTCAAGGTCATGCCATTGCATCTTTTGAACTTCATCGATGCTCAATTTCTGTAATCCCAACCTAGAAAGACTCTCCTCCAAGAACTCCCTCCTGCAGCTACTGTATGCGTGCGAGCACTCCTTCTCGAACCCAGCCGCAACCATACGCTTCGCTATCTCATGGAGATCGCCGATAGTCCCCGACGGGAGCGCGTCGATAACGATATTGTAGTCCGTCACCGGCTGCGCCACAGGGATCTGGAGACCATCGCCAAGAATTCCTTCCGCAACATCCTCATCTTCCTCAGAATCGAAGCAGAAATCACCAGTTGACTCGCCGTTCCTGAAATGACGAGTAAGTTCAAAAGACTCACCTCCACGGTCCATCAACGACCGGAACTCTTGGTCGACGCGTAACATCGCCTGCTGCATCAGATCGTCAGCGCGAGCAAGGTAGTTGCCAACAGACTTATCCCTAGCCATCGGCGTCCAGTCCCTAATGATTGCCATCAACTCATCGATAGCGTCAAGAAACGCAGAGGAATCGGCGGAGTCAGCCCAAATTGGATGGTCGGCGACCAAGTATTGGGAGATCCTGCGGTCCAAAGACTTGAGAGAGCGGTGCAAATCGGCGGAGCCTCTGGGATCAAGCTCATCGGGCTTATCAGACAACTTATCGAGGGAAAACCTAGCATCAAAATTGGAGAAAATGTGAAGAATATCATCAGCCATGGACTCGTTACGACCCATGGTCTTGGCTATGTGGCGAGCCATAGCCAGCAACTTCTCCTCGCCGTTGTCAACCATTGATAAAAGGAAGATGGATCAGAAACAAAGCAAAGGAAAGCAAAGCAATGGAAGGCGCAGAAGAAGAAAAGGGGAAGGGAAGAATCAAAGAGCGAGAGACATGGAAACGAGGTTCAGATACATGAAACTGTTTGCAAAAATGCCAGAGAGAAACAAATAGAAGAGACGGTGAGGAAATTGATGAAGAAAAAGAGTGATTGGAAGAATTCAAAAGTAGAAATAAAAAATGGGAAGGGAACGCGGTTTCTTCATCACTCATTACATTACTCCCTTCTCCTTCTTCTCCATCCATATCAATAAATAATTGCCATTCATACCTTTTAACTTTAATTGGTTACTAATTTGTTCTCGGAAACCATCGGAACATAGTTCAACCAACCTTAATTGGTATGTAATTTGTTCTCAAGATTGAAAAAACCACTCGAGCATAGTTTAACTTTAATTGGGTAAAACATTTTATTTCTCGGAACTATAGGTCATATTTGATTGGGGTACGATGATATGTTGATTTTGTCTTAATGCAAGAGAGAATATTATAAAGTTGGTAAATTAGTGTGTGGAAAGTAAAAGTGGAAGAGGGATGGTCAAAGTTTAAGACCAAAATGAATTGGTTGGAGAATATGGAGGAGGGAGAAGGGTCCCAAATCACCTTTTTGGTGTTATTTTTCAAACTGCATAATCATTATGCATTACCCTTTTAATTGAATCATATTCTTTCATAAAATATATATATATATTTTTTCAAGATTTTAATACATTTACTTTGGTTAAATACTTTGGTTAAATACTTTGGTTAAAGAGAAATATTACAATAGAATGATGCTGAGTCTAATAAAATGGGAGTACCGAATAATTATAGAACGAATTAAATTTTTGAGGGAGAAGTAGTATGAATTGGTACTACAATGGTTATATTTAAAAGAGAATGCAATAATTGTAAGAAAAGAATGGTATGGATTACACTATGAATGGTTATATTTTCAAAAACTTTATGATTCTTGTCATTATATAACTAAACAAAAATGATTGCGACATTCACTTTGCTGCTTTTCCAGTGAAATGAAAACTAGATACAATCTATAAATTATAATAAATAATTATTAAATATGAACAAAGATGTTGAAAAAAACCTTCCCCAAGTGTGTTCCTTTTCATATTTTTATTACCTTAAAAATGGTAAATTATATGAACAAAGAGGAAGTGAAATGAAAGCAAAAGACGAGGAAAAAGAATGTGTTCTTCAGGATTTGAATTGATTCCACACAACCAACCTCAGCTGCTCTCCTTCGAGTAGCTGCTTGTCTCCTCTGCTACCTTCCCCCATACTACAGACATCTTCTCTGCATATCGGACCTATCACCAACAACACAAAAACCCTTTTACGTAATCATTCATTCCAATATCTGACCAACCAGAGCTATGCATGCTTCAGCACAAGTTAAAATGCTTCTTACAATCATAAAAAGCTTGAATTTTATGGATTAAAACATGATCATCATCATCCTAGACAGGACGGTACGTACCTGATTTGTTACAAATCCTTTGAGCATACTCAAGAAGTCGGCTTGTCGTTCTCTGTCAAATCTTTCCAGTTCACTTCTATTGTTTTCCTGAATTAATACATACAGCATCATCAGGCCAGTGTAAAAGAAAAAAAGATGAGGAAGCCAAAGCAAGAAAGATTTTGCATTGTGTTATTGACAAAAAATGTAACAACTGAATCGAGGTTTAGGCAATATGATCTGTAGAAATTCAGACCTTCTTGAAATGCTAAAGGTGACCTCGAGGATTTTACCCTATAAGGGGTGAGACGAGACGTAGTCTCAAATTTAACTAAAAACATTTTAAAAATCTTAAACTTGTATGAGCAAGTACGGCTAAAGCATAACAGTCATGTAGAAGCATACAAAAAAGCCCAGGTCTCTTATGGTTCAAAGAAGATGTAAGACGAGGCTAAAAGTTAGAGCTTGTCTCAGGGGAGCTCAGATGTAAGCCGCAATGGCCTTTGCTTCTCACTCCCTCCTTTTACCCCAAAAACATATCACAAAATGATGATAATAATTTATATATGAAGTGTACCCGCAAAAGCCCAAGCCCACCACCAGTAGATAATGTCCTCTTTGGGTTTTCCCTTTCGGGTTTCTCCTCAAGGTTTTTAAAACGTGTCTGCTAGGGAGAGGTTTCCACACCCTTCTAAAGAATGCTTTGTTCTCTTCTCCAACCAATGTGGGATCTCACAATCTACCCCTTTTGGGGCCCAACGTCCTATCTGGCCCTTGTTCCTCTCTCCAATCGTTGTGGGATCTCACATGAAGGCATCATGACAAAACATAGAAGGGTTCTTCCAAACCTGACACCTTAAAAGAACATTCTCATACTGCTCAGGAAAGAAGGAAATGAAAATCCCACAACTAAATATCTCAGATCAGCAAGCAACGAAGTATAACTTGTTCCTAGCCATGAGTCATCTCCAAAAGTGGGATTTTTTTTTTTCCCCCTCTTTTAACTGAAAGTAGAAGTGCTCGAGTCAAGTTAGATGTGCCTAGGAATATACACAAGGAAGCTCGTCCTAGTTTTAACCCAACCTCCGACACCTGGGTTTACACTTTGCCCTTTCGCTCAAGCAAGTCTGGCTTAAGTTTCCTTAAAGAAAACAAGGCCAATTTAATCTCTTTTGACATGATTCTTAAAGCACTGAATCATTATCCATATCCTAAAGGCCACGAGAAAGAGTCACTTACTCCTGGGGCTTACCCTAATCTTCCTTCCTTAGAATGCAAAGAAAATAGGCATTAAAGTGTGATATTCAATTACATTCTGAGTTCATGATGTAAGCTCTATATATACCAAATGAGAAGCCCAACAACAATAGGAGCATCTTCCTTCCTTAGAAATTAGCAAAGAAAAATGATAACAAAATGCAAAATCCTACAACCTAAAACTACACTCTGAACAATACGAGACTCATACCATAACATACATCACATCCTATGTACTACAGTTTAAAAATATATTGAAGGAAAGACACTGCAAGATTTGATGGGAAGGCACCTTTATGCGTTTGTATTCTCGCATTGCGACATTTTTAGCATCCTCTGTAGTTCTTATGCTTTCTTTTAACTGCTCTAACTTCTGAATCCTTGATTTGTCACCACCAAATACTTTAGATGATGCGGCTTCAAGCTTTTCAGCCCTTGAACGCAATGAGGACAAGTCAGACAATAGAGTTTGCTCAGTCAGTAAAGCACTCGAGCGTTCTGAGAATGCACCATGAACTGCTAGTATTAATCCCAGATAGTCGTGAAGTACGTCCTGAAAGTATATAAAATAAATAGCTACGAAATAATTACAGGACTATAATGAAATGCACAAGTCTTGAGCTAGCTGCTATTATTCTATCATATCATGAATGGACTATAATGTTCATAGTCTACATACATAAATGATAGATCGAATAGTGTGGGTGTGTATGAGTTTCTTCGGAAATACTAACTGTCTAATTTATTACTTAAAAGAAGAGCCATTTTCAAAATAACTCGATCAAATAGCAATGTTTTCAGTTCATAATATCAAGGAAGATAAAAAGTTTACCAAATGTTTCAAAGTTTGAGAATTGAGTTCTCGATATAATCGGCTTGCTTTAACAGCAGCAGTAGCTACATTTTTTGTGTCAGCAGCACGAACTCTTTGACAGTTGAATACAGCTTCCTCATTTTCAAATTTTGTCAACTTAATCAATGTCAAACCTAACTCTCCAAATGTTTCTGCCATATCTTGCTGAGTTTTGACCAACGATTCAGCCTGCGCTACAACCATAATTAAAACAACCAGCAAATAATATACACAGTTTGGCTAACTGATAAGTATAATAAGTATGTCACCTGCTGAGATACAGCACTGAGCTGCTGCTCGAAATCGCGCAATTTTTCTTTCTTTTCCAAGAATTCCTTATCCTCCTCGACGATTGGAGGCTTCAAACTGCCCCAGTCATTTGTCACAGATTGCTTCAATTCCTTAAACAATCTTAACAAATCCCTTCCACCTTTCGCTGGCTGAACCACCTCCTGAGGCGCCATTGCACTCTCACTGAGCAACTGCTTAGGGAGATTTACTGCCCCATCAATCATCCTAGATGCAACATCGGTGGTTGTTGGCAGTGGTAATCTCCCTTGAACTTGCAAAAACACCTTAAACTCATCGCTCATTCTGATCACTGGATGTCCTGCTAGCTTCCTCAAGTATTTCTCCAGTGCCACCCTTCTCTGCTCCACAAACTCTTGTTTCTGCATCACTTGGCCCTCCACCACACTCTTATCCGGCCGTGGGGGTATAAAGAACCCTCTATAAGACTCGGCCAAACGCTCTGATAGCGTCACCACATCCTTAAACCTCCTTCGAACGCTAAATTCTGACCCTCCAAACTCCGCTATGTTAGTCCTCGTCGTGATCAGATACGTGACGTACGAACTCCCACCGGGCACTAGCGAGTTCGAAACCTCTTGCTCCTTCTGGGGATTCGAGACTGAAATTTTTATATACTCGGAGTTGGAAGACGAAGATCTGGACAAACTCCCAGAACTTTCCGAACTCTTGCTAGGGCTTTCAACACCATTAAGATCACGGACATTATTCCCATCGAACGGGCCAAAATCCACATCAGAAAAGTGAAGCGGGTCGGAGAAAAAATGATCAGACACATAAGGTTTTTGGAGATCTCGGTCCATCGGCGGCAGACGCAGGGGATCTGAGTCAGCCGGTGTAAGAACAGCCGGCGAGGACAGTGGATGGTGGGCATCAGAGAGCGAGGACATGGCACTGCGATAATTAGAAAAAGATTTGGCGCTTAACTTCTCCTTGAAATCCAAATTTTGCACCTCCTCATGAGAGGAATACAATCGGGCTTCTTCAAAGCCCTGGTTCTCCGAATCCATCATCCTAGAATCTAATCCCCAAAACAAAATCCAGTTAAACAACAGAGAATTCAGGAATTACCACTGCGCGTATCAGCTTAGCAATCTACAAAACGAAGAAACTGCGGAAAGTCCGAAGCAGAGGAGGCCACCAGGCGGCGTGGCGGAGAGAGCCAGCTGAGGACGACGAAGAGTGAGCAAGACAAGCACGTGGCCGCTGCAGGAACCCACCCTTCACAGAAACCTCCAGTCCTCAAAACGGTGCCGTTTCAGAAGTCTTTCCGTCCACGGGAAGAATGGACGCGGGGTAGTACCGTAGTACTGTTTCGTTCTTCTCCCGATATTTTTAGTGTCCGTGTCGCCTCAAAAAAACGCCAATTTATCGTTGACTTTCAAAGAATTCCAATGGGCGTTGATGGCCGGGAAATAAAATAAAGATTAGTTATTTTTCTTATTAATTTGTTTCGATTTTAAGAAAAAAAAAATATTTTTATTTAAATGATTTTGAGTTGATTTTAAATATCATTATTATTATTATTATTATTATTATTATTATTATTATTATTATTATTACTTTAGGTGTGACTTGGTAGGCAAACTAATTTGTTATGAAATTATAGGAAGCTGCTGCATTTCAATAAATTTATTTATATTTGAACAACTACACATTGCCAATTAGTGCCTTAATTGATGTTTAATTACAACATTAACTACTTTTGACTTTATTAAAATTATTTATTATAAACAACACTTAATAAAAATTATCAATTATCATATGGATCTTTTTCATATATCTAATTACGTAGTGATGGTTTTGATTAGCTTCATACATTTAGCATCCTCGTGGTGTCTGGCTCGATATCATTTTTAACAACTCAAGCTCACCGCTAGCAGATATTATCCATTATGGCATGTTACATATTGTCATCATCTTCACGGTTTTAAAACACGTCTTTAGAGAAAGGTTTCCACACCCTTATAAGAAATTATTCGTTTCCATTTTCAACCGATATGAGATCTCGCATGCATGTTTAGAATTTGGATCAAGATTTAAAATTCAAATTCAACATCCACATGTATTTATGATACAATACTTTACCTATTATTCCCACAAAATAATACGAGTTCTTTTAATATATTTTATTTTCACTAGCATGTTTTGTAGAAAAATTCACAAGAGGCCACCCAACATACAATTGCTCCAAGTTAGACATGTTTAACTTTATAATTTCTATATTTGAGACACCGAAAAGAAAGATGCAATTTGTCGATATAAGCACTAACTTTCAATTATTTTAAGCTTTCTTGACCATCATATCGTTAGAATCACTCTCAATTCAAACATGGAATCGGTTCATTTACGTACTTTTTTTTTTACTCGGACATCGTAATTTCTTCCATGATCTTATATCTAGAAATCTCACGAATACATTCTAAAACAAATTGTTACTCGGGTATCTTTGCCCATATTTCAATTCGTATACGAATATAAACTAGCGAGAATCTGATAGTTTGAAGTTAGTATTAGATGTTTGTGTTTATGGAAAGGAAGTGGGTACAACAAATCCCCATTAATGGTTGAGCCAAAATGATTTAACCTTAAATCCTCACAATAGCTGCTGACTCTCTAAACCTAATTTTGCAACAATTTTTTTTAATAATTGTTTTGGTAATTTCCAATGTTGTATTGAATTTGATCATCCCTTTTCCCTCCTCTTTTTTCTGCCTATAAATACCTCCTCCCATTCAGTTTCTAAACCACCAAGCATATCACAAAGAACACACAGAGTGATGGAGGAGCTGCTTAAGATCAAGTCCTTTTGCTCTTTCTTCTTGCTTTCTCTTTTGGCCTTCCTCCTTTTACTCCCTCCTTTTGCTGTTGCAGAAACTCACTACCACGAGTTCATTGTAAGTTCTTAAATTCTCCCCTTTTTATTATATTCATATTGTCACGTTCGAGTAAACGAGTATATGATCTTAAAAATACAAGACGATCATGGATGCGAGATTCCACATCCATTGGAGTGGGGAACAAAACACTTTATAAGGGGTGAAAATCTCTCCTTACCTGGAAGGGAAAGTCCAAAGAAGGCAATATCTAGTGGTGGGCTTGGGCCGTTACAAATTGGTATCAAGTCGGATACTAGGCCATGTGCTAATGAGAACACTGGCCCCAAAAGGGTGGATTGTGAGATCCCACGTCGATGGGAGAGAGGAACGAAATATTCTTTATAAGGGAGCAGAAACCTTTTTCTAACATACATGTTTTTTAAACCTTGAGGAAACATGGTAAAAAAACTAGTGTTAGTCTGTGAGAGGAGTAGTTTTTACGGTTACAAGCAACCAATAGGTAATATGATGATGTGGCAAAAAAGGAAACCAAACCGGATTTCTCAGTTTGTTTGTCTCTGTTTGTATGCAAAAAAAAATGAACTGCAGGTGCAACCAAAGCCGGTGAAGAGGCTGTGCAAAGTCCACAACATCATAACAGTGAACGGGAAGTTCCCTGGCCCAACTCTATCGGTCAGAAACGGCGATTCCCTTGTCATCAAAGTAGTGAATGTTGCCCGCTACAATGTCTCTCTCCATTGGTACGAACACAATCTTTCCATTTGATGGGCATACAAAACTGAGTGGTAATTAAATGGTTGATTTGTATGGTTAGGCATGGGATCAGGCAGCTGAGGAACCCATGGGCAGATGGGCCAGAGTTCGTGACCCAATGCTCCATAAAGCCAGGAGGCAGCTACACCTACAGGTTCACCATTCAAGACCAAGAGGGAACCCTGTGGTGGCATGCTCATAGCCGATGGCTTCGAGCCACCGTCTATGGCGCTCTCATTATCTACCCCAAGCTCCCCTCTTCATACCCTTTCTTAATGCCCAAAAGAGAAGCCTCTGTTCTTCTTGGTAACCGCAGTCTCTTAATAAATGCTTAACAAATGCTCGCAATGGCTTATTTATGGTTTCTTGAACAGGGGAATGGTTCGACAGAGACCCGATAAGTGTGCTGCGGCAGGCGCTTTTCACTGGCGCTGCTCCTAATGTCTCTGATGCCTACACCATCAACGGCCAGCCCGGCGACTTCTACCGCTGCTCCGGCAAAGGTTGGTGCTTGGTGCTGTCTTCTTTATTACAAATTTGGAATGGGTTTTGGTTACGATGAAACAAAAAGGGTTTTGGTTTGATATTTGGCAGAGACGGTGAGATTCGCGGTGGATTCCGGCGAGACAATTCTTTTGAGGATCATAAACTCAGCATTGAATCAGGAGCTATTCTTCTCCGTCGCGAACCACCAATTGACGGTGGTGGCCGTCGACGCGTCTTACACCAAACCATTCACAACAAATGTGATTATGATCGGACCCGGGCAGACCACCGATGTCCTCCTGACAGCCAACCAACAACCAGCTCACTACTACATGGCTGCCACCGCCTACAACACCGCCCTCAACGCCGCCTTCGACAACACCACCACCACTGCCATCCTCGAATACAAAAACTGCCAGCAACACCAGCAGCAGCCACCGCGACCCACTATGGCTCAGCTCCCAAATTTCAACGACACCCCCACCGCCACCCGATTCACCTCCCAACTCCGGAGCCCCAACAGAGTGAACGTCCCGACCCAAATCGACAACAGCTTACTCTTCACCGTCGGATTAGGCCTCATCAACTGCACGAACCCAAACAGCCCCCGCTGCCAAGGCCCCAACGGCACTCGCTTTGCCGCCAGCATCAACAACGTCTCCTTCGTTTTCCCAAAATCCAATTCCATCATGCAAGCCTTTTACCAGGGCGTTCCGGGGGTTTTCACCACCGACTTTCCGCCGGTTCCGCCGCTGCAATTTGATTACACAGGGAACGTGAGCAGAGGGCTTTGGCAGCCCGGTCGAGGGACCAAGGGTTATAGGCTTAAATATGGATCAAATGTGCAGATTGTGCTGCAGGACACCAGCATTGTAACCACCGAAGACCACCCGATGCATCTCCATGGCTACCATTTCTACGTCGTTGGTTCGGGTTTTGGCAACTTCAACCCTGCGACGGATCCGGCGAGGTTCAATCTCATCGACCCACCGGTGAGAAACACCATTGGAACGCCCCCTGGTGGTTGGGTTGCCATTCGATTCGTGGCTGATAATCCAGGTAAGCTCCGATTGCAACAAATAAATCTGTGTTCTATATAATTAAATGGTTTTGAATTCCCCGTAATAAATGGATTGCGCGCTGAAAAACAGGGGCTTGGTTGATGCATTGCCATATAGACTCGCACCTTGCTTGGGGATTGGCGATGGTGTTTCTGGTTGAGAATGGCGAAGGAGAGCTGCAGTCTGTTCTTCCTCCCCCGCCGGATCTGCCTCCTTGTTAAGAACATCTGTATACTATACATCGGTTCAACCTCTCAATCATATAATCTTTGTTATTATTTTGGTGGATTGGAAGCAAGTACAACATATATGGCGAAGCTTTTAATTTTGAGCATTAAGGATAAACAAAATCTCTCTAGGTTGATTTCGTGTATTTTGGGGTGTCGTATATTTTGGATCTAAATGATTGTTCTTTAACAAGGTTGTTAGATCAAATGACAAGAGTTTCAAAACTAATCTGTTCTAATGTGTTCCCTATGACTACAAAATGGTTCAAAAGTGGTTAAACAGTGTTTTGGGGTCGATTTCACTATTGAACTAGCCTAGAAATTTCCCTAAAGCACATAGCTCATGCTCCATCCACTACTCCCCATGCAAGACTAATAGATATTGTTTAGTTTGACCCATTGTGCATCACTGTCAGCCTCACAGTTTTAAAATGCATCTGTACTATAGTAGATATTGTTTAGTTTGGTCTATTATGTATCACCGTAGCCTTACAGGGAGTACTTTGTTCCATTCTCCAATTGATGTAGGATCTCACAATCCACTTCCTTAGAGACCACGTCCTCATTGACACACTGCTTGATGTTTGACTCTAATACTTTTTGTAACAGCCCAAGCCCATTACTAGCAGATATTATCAGTTTTAGCCTATTACGTATGACTTCAGCCTCACAATTTTAAAATGCATCTATTAGAGAGAGGTTTCCACACCCTTATAAAGATTGTTTCGTTCCATTCTTGAACCGATATGGGATCTCATACCATAAGACAACCCATTTTATTTTCTAACTCAAGCATAACGTGCATGAAGTTACTACAAAACTATACCATATGAACCAAATCATGCTTTAATTAGCCTATGATTGAGATGTTTAAAAAGTTCTAAAGAAAGAAGTGAGCGTATTTAAAAGGTTGAAATGCAATTAAATCATACCATATTTATCTATACTAGGCTTTGACAAAATAATATGGTCGAAAAAGATCATATAGTTAAATGTGAAACACTACATGTCGTATCCAACTATATAATATAAAAAAGGAAATTAATAACCATAGTCAAATATTTCATTAATACGGCCTCATAGACCTCTCTAAAAAAGCCTAAAGCTCGAATTTAGTAACATATTACACATTGTTATGTATGGTGAAAAGCATTACCCACCAAGTTTTTTTTAACCAATTTTGTTGTAATGTTGACTTCAATATTTTGACTTAAAAAGGAATTATTATATTTAGTATATTTTAATAAATGAGCGATTAAATAAAAAAATTTCAATAGCCCAACCATAAAAACTTTAAAATTAATTAAACTCGTGTTCGTCGGTATAACTTCACTTTTACAATCTCAAATCTCGACCCTCTTCTCTTTTCACTCTCGAGACTTTCAATAAAATTTTTAAACTAAAAAAAAAATTTAAAATTACTCTAATGTTTAGTTTTTATATAAAAATGTTAGTATTTTGTTTTAAAATATTTTTTAAAATAATTTTATACTTTTAAAAGTTTGATTAATACTTTTTAAAAAGTTTAAAAATAATTATTTACAGCTTACCTATTAACAATTTATAAATTATCTCCAAATTTTTTAATATTAATTTTAAAAGTTATATTTTGAAACGATACTAACAATAAAAATATTTTAAAATGCTAATTTTTTTTTTTGAAAAATTAAATTTATTTTTAAAACTCTTTTGAAAGTTATACGTATTTTTTGAAATAAAATATTATTATTATTATTATTATTATTTGTTTAAAATTGACTGTAAGGTTTTTTTTTTTTTTTTTTTTTTTTTTTTTTTTTTTTTTTTTTTTTTTTTTT